GACAGGACTGACTTGATGAAGATGAAGATGAAAAAAGGTGGCTGAACAAAACGGCCGGTTCGCGGATTTTGACTTTTGCTTAGACAAGGTCTAGAGCCACGCTAGTTGTACCATTGGAGTCCTCTGGTGAAGATAAGGTCCTTTATAAAGTCTGGTAAGCATAGGAGCTCGTTTTCCCGGTATAGCAAGGCTGCAAAAGTCGTGGCAGCCATTTTGTTTGGGGGTGAATCCTACTTAGTAACGCTACCGCGTTACTAATAGTACAGGGATTTTTTCAGAATTTTGGTATTTTCTTAAAATGGCCGTAACTTGAAAAATTGAAGTCGGAATCGGCTCAAACTTTCTATAGAGCATAAGAACATCAATATGTATCAGAAAATGTAATAAAAATTGGGAGTAATTTCGGAGCCATTTTTCAGAAAAAACCATGGGCTATAGTACAGGGACTTTTTCAGAATTTTGGCATTTTCTTAAAATGGCCGTAACTTCAAAAATCGAAGTCGGAATCAGCTCAACTTTTCTACACAGCATAAGTACATCAATATGCATCAGAAAATGTAATAAAAATTGGGGGGTAATTTCGGAGCCATTTTTTGGAAAAAAACCATGGGTTATAGTACAGGGATTTTTTCAGAATTTTGGTATTTTCTTAAAATGGCCGTAACTTGAAAAATTGAAGTCGGAATCGGCTCAAACTTTCTATAGAGCATAAGAACATCAATATGCATCAGAAAATGTAATAAAAATTGGGGGGTAATTTCGGAGCCATTTTTCGGAAAAAACCATGGGCTATAGTACAGGGATTTTTACAGAAATTGTCATAATTAAACTAACCTTGGAGTATTGACATGAAGCTTCTTCCTAGTAGCCTTAAACATTACAAATAATGTTATAATAGAGAATATTGACCATACGATGATCATCCTCCAGAAACTCAACCGAACACACAAATAAAATGGAATTATCCACATGCCTAATAAGGTAATGGCCTAAGAGAGAAAGGAGGGAGGAAAGAAATTAAAATCATCAATGTTATATACTATAGAGGACCACATTCTGATGCTACTGAAATACAGTATAAGCAATAACAAGAGTATATACTCTTGGCAATAATTATGGAGGAACTAGCTAATTTGTATAAAATGTACATTTATATACTAACTATTATTATATGTCATTTATACCTTATTATTACCAACACATTATTAGTATATCATTAGTATATTAGTGTATATTATTAGTATACTATTAGCATATTATTACTGTATATTATTAGTGTATTATTAGTATATTATTAGTATATTATTACTTGTACACATGTACATGTATGCTGTGTCTACCTGGTAGGATTTCCTGTGTTTCACTCTCCATAAGAAGAGGAGTACTTGTGCTACGGTACCCCAATAGATGCAAACAGTATTAATATCATTTCAGCATGCATCAGGTCATGACCCCTGTGCTTCTCCTCTATCATCCGGTGACGCAACCTTTAATAATATAGAAAATTATTTCTTTATAATTTATACATTTCATTAGTTATGTATCAAGATATGGCTGTAGTCCTTTAGTTCTTAGACTTTTCTTTACTAGAATTTTCAGACAAATTTTTTCACAATATCCAGCAAATTATAACCATGTATCTAATAATTAATGGGCTGATTAGGAAATTATTGTCTGAACTAATTGTGTGAAATTTATTTTTTATGTAATCATACATTATTGATTGTGGTACTACTAATTAATATTCATGATCCAAGTAATTACTGTATAATTTATTCATAATACAACAACTGAACTACATCAAACCTGTGTCTCTCCTCAGGACTGAATTTAGACCATTCTATCTTGTCCCAATCAAAAGATGTAGACTATTAACGATATAACAGTATACATGAATGAATATATAGCAGCTGTTACTTACTGCAACAGTGGAATGGGTAGACAATGTAGCTTCTGACATTATTTTGATTTTTAAGACATGTGTGATGGGGAGGAGTTTAAATTAAAATTAATAATTAAATTATTACCAATAATTTTTATCACGTGATATTTACAAGTCATGTGCAGCCACGTGGATCATAATGCATTAAGATAAAAAAATATTAAAATAATGAAAAGCAATAGCAATAAGGGGGCATACAAAATAAAAGCAACAGCAATAAGGGGGCACACAAAATCTAATAATAAGGAGCAGTAGCAATAAAGGAAGTGTAAAGGGACACACAAAAGCAAAATATAAAAGAGTTCAGCATGTAATAGTCCACACAATAGTAATTTCAATTTTTTTAGTTAAAAGTCATTCTCTTTCTTAAGCTAAGCAGAATTATTTTCCTCTTCCAATCCTCCCACTTCTCCTCCTCCTCCTCCTCCTCCTCCTCTTTCATTTTGACTGTTAACAGTAGTTAGCAATTGAGCCACTAAACTGCGTAGTTCCTTGACCTCCCGAGATACTGAACCATGTAGGCTCTTCATTTCCTCAGATAATGATTTGCTTTGATTTTTAACATCAGCTAGAGTTGCCTGTATTAAAATAATATGCATGATAAAAAAGAAAGTTCACTATGTTCACTTACTGGAGGTTCAGTTTTAATAGATTTCTCAATCTCATCAATTTTTCGTTTCAAGAAATTATGTTTGTTTGGTTTATCAGTTTTAGTAACAGCTACAAACTTTCCTAACAAAGATGAAACTTTTTTTAGCTGTCCCTTTTTATCAATATAGCTTCTAAATGTTCTTAGAAGTTGCTCAATAGGTAGTGTAAATTCAACCTATAATATATATATATACAAATGTCAAGAGTATACTTGGTGATGTCAGTTCTTACCCTCAGAGTTAGTCTGTAAGTATCAGCTGATTGTTGTATTTCATCAGTGTCACCAACAGCTAAACCAATCTATATAAAATGAATTGGTCAGTGGGTGGTAATACTATATAAGAATGTACCAATAGATTAAGGAATAGAATTGGCATTAAAATCACAAACACAGTTACCAATGAAAATGCAACCACTGGATACTGTACATCAGGGGCATTCACTTGATAATTCTGTCGTAATAATGAATCCATATCAAGTTCCCCCACTGTCATTGTTATTGCCTTAACAGTTGTCCTCCATGGAGTGATAAATGGAGTACGCTACATGAAAAAAGTAATCAAGACCTGAACAGATAGGGATAATAATTATATTAGCTTAAGTCTTACAATTCCTTCTGCTCTATCTTGAGGATCATAAAAA